GAGCAATGGAATATGTCACCTCCTCCGCTTTCTCTGTGGAGCCGTAGTGATTGGGCTAAGAGGCACTCAGAGATCGCCAAATCAATGAGGCACATCCTCAATGAAATTGCGTCCTCTGGTGATTTGCAAAGGGATATGTCTGTATCTGTACCTACCACAGAGCATGTGGAGAAATGATGCAGAGGTCGCAGGCATACCTCCCTGTTATCTGGATCAGCTGATGTCTGACACGTTCCATGACCCAACAACTTCTCCAGGGGACTGCTGGAATGATACCAATGGGCGATCGCGGCAACCTTGCAAACTGTGAAACCACAGGACCAGGAAGGAGCGATCCAACCTATGATCATACAGAAACGTGCTCTGATATGAGCATTTCATTGTCAGAGAGTGATTTTCAGAGAAAAGATCAAGCTTTGTCAATGCCAGAGCATGGAGGCACCAACTCTGAAGCCTCGGATGCTGTTGGAAGTGCATCGGCAGAGAAACCAACTGTTGATGCCGATCACGATGAGGTAACATCGGCTCCTGGTCCGTATCATTTGCCGGGGAATGCATCAGAGGCAGGCAGACAGGCAGCTGGAGTTCACTATTGGATGATGGAAGACTCACCACTCCTGGAGGACGGAGAGCTGAGCGATGCACCACCGGCGGGCAGGCCTGCAGCTGGCATCCATCATCAACCGACGGAACACAGCAGCCAGCAGCAGCACACCGGAGCTGCCTCCTGGTGTGGGCAGCCAGACCACTCGCCGCCTGTGGCCCGGCATAATGCCAGAACTCTGCCACCAAGAAACACCTTCCCTGGACTGCGCTTGCGGCAAGGATGCAACACCTCTCGTCGGTTCCCGTCCCAAGGCATGGGCCATCAGGCCGTCCATCAAGGGCCATCAAATGCTTGGATCGAGGATGAAGACTATTAAGCCTAGATTACCAAGGAAAAAAGAATCCCTCTTCTGCTTGTGAATGACCTTCCCGTGACATCGTTGCTGTGTAGAGTAGGGGATAGTAGCTGCTAATGTGCCTCGCGTTGTCTTCACAGGTGTGAGCTAGTTTGTTCTACGGCCGGCTTTGGAGTATGCTGAGGTTACGCTAACGTTGGTAGAGTCTGTCATTGGATCATTTACTTTCGTTAATTGTTACATTCATGCCCTTACTGCTTGACCTTGTAACTGTTTCTGGCGAAACATCTTGCCATGGTCCATGGACTTGATTGGCTTTGAGCCTGAGACAGCAAAAGATGAGAAAATGAATTATTCAGTACAGATCTTTCGTTGCCTGCGTACCTTGCTGGATGATTTGGTTTCCTGTCGCAAACTTGCATTCTGAATATTTTGTTCGTCTATCTATATATAATATAATAACATGCCATCGCCTGCTGGCAGAGCACGGTGCATGTTTAGGCATTTTGGTATGCTCGAGTTTCTTTCAGATACTAGGGGAACATAGAGTCTTTTGTACAAAGGACAGTTCAAAACTCCATGAACTTCATTCATGTTTGATGTTTTACGGACAGATCTGAAAACGACGTTTCGAGTAAGAACCGGACAGTAGTGCCATTCATTTCAGCATGGCTAAAAAGCAAATTTCCTTACATTGCAATCTGTGCTGTTGGCCATTGTGTTTGTGCATCTCCAGACTCCACAGGCCACACTGGTTGCCACTCCGAGAAAGGGAGCTGGATGCCACCACCACCACGGCGACGGACGCGTGCGCCGGCATAGAAGCTGCCGCGGCTCGGTGGGCGGGCGCCATGCCGTCGCCATCGGTGGAAGAGCCGGGGCCGGTGTCGTGGGACTCGGTCCCGGGAACGCCCGACCGGCGGCTCCGGCCTCGGCGACCCGCACGTGCGGTGCGGCGACGATCGGGCGGTGGTCTGGCTCGCTCGCTGGCCGGCCGAAATGACCACGGAGCCCCCGGGATCGGGGTGCATGCGGGGCCGGGGCTGCACGTGACGTGAGGTGTGGTGGCCGGCTGGCCGCAGAGGCGGCCGTGGCCGGACGGACGGAGTGGCGTGTGGGCCCCCCCGGAGCTGGGAGGTCAAAGCAGCCGTGGGCCGTGGGCCCGTGGCCTTAGGCGGCCTGTCACCCGAGCCGCGCGTGGTGCGGTGCATGGTGGGCCAGGCCCTGCTAGCGATGCCTTGGGCTTTGCCGCTTTTGGATTCCCATTTTGGCTCTGGTCTGGAGGTCTGAAATGCTTATTGCTCTTTTGGCGAAAAATCTTATTTGTTTTCGAGAGGTAAGGAATAGAGCAGGCAGATTTATGTTTTTGCTATTAATTACAGTGCTCACACACACACTTTACTCTAGACTGATTTTGAGATCGACGAATAGAGCAGGCAGATTGAATAGTACGTCGTCTAGTCTAGGAATAAAAGAATCGTAACCTGAAAATGCCAGCACTAATGTTGAGTCAAAGTAAATTTCCACACATTCTTACGGTTAGTAGATAACATTAAGTTTCCAACAGTCCTATATGAAGTTTCTTTGCTCTCCCATGAAAACCCCTACCGTACCGTGCCTCTCCACACGACCCTAACAATAGTTTACCATTTGGTTGGAGACTTGGAGTTGTCACGATTCACAAACAACACTGCCATGGTTTTCTATATGTGGTTAGAAGTGTTTAGCCATCAGTTCGCCTTGTAGCCAAATCAAGGGTTACCATCTTGAGAGTCCAAAACATCACATTATTCACATACCATTTTGGCAAAATCGGCTACGTGATAGTAGGTGTTTAATAATCTATCTCTGTTAATGTTCAGTGTCATCGTTATATGATTGAGTGAAACAGAAGGCAAAAATGTGAAAAAGGTCTGGAAGTCTTTGAATTGGGTGCATGACAAGTCCCATCGGTCACAACTCTGGCATGATCAGAAGCGAAGGACTGCAGTGTAAAACCTATGAAGAAAGTTGGGGTGTTTTCATAGAAAAACAATGCCTGGGTTCTACACACGTTCTTCTATCAAATTACTGGTAGTGCTGCCAGATTCCACATGCAAGGTAGATGTCCTGGTGAACGTACTGTTCCTTGAAAACGCTTTTCCCAAACTGAGATTTGAAGGGCAAACAAAACAAAACAAAACAAAACAAAAAGTCACCAATAATGCTAATTGCTAAGCCTAACGGCAGAAGAGAACCTCATGCATGACTTCTTCCCACCTTTCACTGTTTAGGGAAGTTGGAAGAGTGCATGCATGTGGGTGAGGAAAAGAGGCCCAATTTTTCACTTTTGGACCACTATACTGTCTCTTTGATCAACAAAACCAAAGCCTTAGAGCTCGTTCGTTCTTTGGTTAGTTACTTGTGTGAACAATCTTCTTCCTTTATCTCGCTTTATAAGCTTAGATCTTCTGCATCCGTCTTTATTTAATTATTACTCTTACTACGGTGGTGGAAGAATGTAAACATGTAAGTTTAATCTAATCCTACACATATACTTAGGGTTGAGGGTTTGACTTTTGAGCCAGATAGTTCTGTTTATGTGATGAACCATGCATGCAGATTCTAACGAAGTAACATTTTTGCTAAACTACATATAAAATGAGCACTAAAATAATCATTTTCCTGTCATCAAGACTTTAATGTAGCCTCTGCAGTGGCTAGCAAAGAACCCAAAAAAAAAACTATAGCAACAATTAGTTGCTAGACACTATAGCAGAGGCTTTGTACTTTGTAATTGTAGCATGTTAGAATAAAAATAATAAGAACACAATAAGGGCATATTTGGTTCAGCTATAAGCTGCGAAAGAGTTGGTGCGCACTATGTGCTGTAAAAAAAAGTTGTTTGGTTAAAACAACTATGAAACCTACCTCCTCTCTTTATTTTCCTTGAAACAACTGCAAGAACGTCTCTCTATTTCTATCAATTTAGAAAAGATGAAATTATATCACGCAAAAGCAGCTGCTCATGACTCTACTTTGGTCGGCGTTCTGCTCTTTTTTTTTTTAGCAACAGAAGCACTTTTTAGAAACTGAACCAAACATAGCCTAAATATGTTCACTTGCTTCTTCTCTATTTATTGTTGCTGGCTTTTTCAAAAAAAATGTGCACAAGATAGGCGTGGCACATGTATGCAGTCACAGAAGGTCCTGGTGTGAGCTCTTGCTAAGGTTGTGTGTGTTTAAAAACCTCAGTTTTATATTCTACCGCACTTGCCTCTAGCCCTCTAGTGCAAACAAACCTTCCCCTCTTTATCGCTCTCTCCCTCTCCCTCTCCCTCTCCCTCTCAAACACACGCGCTTTCTTGGTGCCTTCTGAGCCAGCAGCAGCTACTCCTTACCGGCCGCCGGGACATGAAGAAGGACGAGGAGGACGCCGCCAATGCCACCGTCTCCAGCGACGACGTGCCGTCTCTTCTCCAGCCCCCCGTCCATCCGGAGAGGCTGCCGCTGCCGCTCCGGTGACGCCCGGAGAAGCTTCTCCTTTCTCGCCTTCTGAGTCGTCGTTCTTCTTCGGAGCAAAGCCATCTATGGAGCGAGCTCGCCGTCGTGCAGACCAGCGGCTCATCAACGGATTGAGGAGAGCCCTGGCGAAGAAGGAGCCATACGTGTCCCGGTGATACGTGCGGATTTGGCATGCGGGAAAGCCAGGCATTTTTTTCTCAATTCAGACTCGTTTTCGCTTTCCTACCCTCGGTGATTGTTGCTAGCTGCTGCTGCTGCTTTTGTTGTTGGTTTACCCTTTTTCTTTTCTTTTCTCTTCTCTTCTTTTCTTTTCTTTTCTCTTCTTTTCTTTTTTGGTCCATCTCCAACTATCTGTAGTTTTGCCAATTACAGTTCTACTAAGAATATCGGTTATTGGAGATCGAAATGGTCCTGTGGATTTTGCTCTATATCTCTATGTTTGTATAAAGCTAGTTACCATTATTTAGCAATATGCGCAACTTGACCAAGTGCAATGCTGCAGCCTACAGCTCAAGTCTAATCAGTGCCGGCCCTGGAGAGGTGCGACCGCCGAGGGCCCAGGGGAGGGAGGGGCCTAGACCCACGTGTATCGTAGACCCCAGTCCTAGACGTTTAGGATTAGGGGCGCTGAGCGCTTGCTTCCCCAGTCCGCAAGTCTACTACGTGCGCGAATGCCCAGCGCGAAGGGTCACGGTCTCAAGGAGTCACAGAGAGTCGGAGACGGAGCCGCGCCGCGCCGCCACCGGCCGCCGCGGAGAGCCAGAAACACGAAACCGGCGCACTCACAGGCTCGACTCGACGACGACATGATCAGGCGGATCAGCCAATCATCAGTTTACATTTTGAGAGAAATGTAGTTTACAAGCCACTCCTAGGCCGTTTTAGTTTACATTGTTCCTCGATAACTATCAAACATATTAAATTAAAAATATATCACTGGATTTGTTTTCGCTTTGCAATAAAAATTAGCGCATATATATTATAAGATTTTAGATGTGGTCCAGAGGGCCTTCGTGACGAGTTCGCCAGAGCGCCCTCAAAATTCTTGGACCAGCACTGAGTCTAATATATATCTCTCTGCATATATATTCTGTTTTTTTAGATGATGCAATAATGTCCTTGAGTGATGATTAGCTTCTGAAAGCACGAATCCTGCCTTTTCCCTCCTCTGTGTACTCTTTCTTGTTTTTTGTTAGTGTTTCAACTGTCTATATAGTGCAATGCAGTTACTGTTCACTACAGATACTGTGCATGTAAATATAATATAATGTAATGCAATCCCTGATTGATTTTCCAGCGCTAAGCATTTCTCGTGCAGAGCAAGATCTACAGACAGAGCAGTGCTCAGCAGATTTCTGCAAGAATCATGCATCGCATTGAGCACACATTATCTGCAAGTACTCCTTCCTTTTGTCTTTTAGGTGCCTTTTGCGTGCAGTGTTGAGAGACTCTCCTCAAGTCTTGTCCCAACATCGCAATCTTCTGCGAGCGAAAACCGAAAACGATGGAAAGGGGAA